GCGATCCAATAGGATTTGCAACCAAACACACTTCCTGCAGACAGAATAATTAATAACATTGAAATTCTCCATAACCTCCCACATCCGACAGGAAGAGCACATCATTCTACCAAAGGCCATAATTGCACCTTAACAATCTACAGACCCAGAAAATACCATAGTCTTACTGTTCTTAAAACACTGCTCCAGGATAACTTAGTATCAATGTTTTATATTTTTAAAGTTTATTCAAGACTCATATCCAAATAAAACATAAAATCCAACAAAAGGCCGCTCTTACCACTATTGCAGAGTCACATTAAAAAAGTAAGGTTACACTTTAAAAATAAGTCACTTAGCTGCTCCTCTGCTGTGAGATCCCCACACAAGTACATCCAAGGTCAACTGTGAATTTCACCATTTGTGTATTTTACTTAGACAAACTCCAATGTCCAGAGATACTTGAAATTAAACAGCAGAGGCAGTCAGCTGTGCAGGTTCACTGCTTGGTCAGACAACTGCGCAGGTTTACTATTCCATTTTTTCACCTCCCACCATAGTATATGCTTTCTCTCTCTTCCTCCTTTTTTAAAGTGCTGTTGTTCTGATCTTTTTTTTTAAGTTCCAAAACAATGCAACAGCTTATAAAACAATAATTACTGCTCCATGACTTCAAGGAAATCAGCTCCAACACTGAAAATACCTTAAAAAAGAAATAGCCCTTACAACTACAATTTTTTCCTGTCCTCCATCTTGGATTACCCAGAATCCTTATATGGACTACCCAGAATTCTCATATTTGTCTGACATCTTTGCTCGATAGTTGGCAAGAAGGGGTTAAATAATTACTCATAATAGTTGTGCAAATCCTAAGGGCATGTTAACAGCTGCAATCCTAAACTAATCAGATTTTTTTGTTGTATAAGTTTTAGTGGGCTATATGTCAGTATTATTCTCTGCTTGGCAAAGACTAAGTTAAAGGATTTTCAAGTTTCTAAGATTTTAGCAAAATTGAAGATCTGAACGTGGATTGCAACAATTAATGTAATAGCTCCTTTTTTAAGGAAGAAGCAAGTACAGGCAATGATAATACACCTACAGTTACTACACATGGATGATTACAGCCAGACCCTAGGTGAGGGTCTGCAATTTGTTATAGTTTCAGATGGGAAGTGCAAAGTTTAATCTTTTGAGTGTGGAGGGAAGTACTGGCTCCTCTTATTTATTCACCCACTCCCTCCGATGGTTACAAGGAGGTTGATTTAAAAAAGATCTGGTTCCTTGTGGATATCTTTCTCCCAGACCCGAAAGAACATACGTTTTAAAAGAAGCCAGTGTAGTCTTTCTTGGGTTAACAAAGAATAAGTTTATGAATTACTAAACACAAGAAGAATTAATTACACAACACACATACACATAGATTAGAAACAAGAGGTGAAACAAAAGGAAAACATTTTAAAAACCAAAGATATATGAAACAGTCTCTAAATTGTGTGTAAAAAAGCAAATAGTTGAAAATTGCAGCCATTACAGTGGAGGTTACTGGAAACATTGATGTTGTGAATTGAACAGTCACCTTCATGATATTTAGTTTTGTAGATTGTCTGTGATTTTTTAGTTCTGATTCCTTTTGATTATGATTGAATTCCAGCAATCAGGGTGTTAGAGAGTCCTTTTGTTATCCTATTTCCTTTTGTCTGGCAGCGAGCTAGTTCACTTCTAGCATTCAGAATGAGAGAAGTTCTTTGTCTGCAGTACAGGGATGATTTTGACTGTGACCTTCAAAGCATGCTAAACTTGGAAACATAGAATATACCCTTGCAGGAGTAGGCCATTTGGCCATTAGTCTGCTCCATCATTCAATCTGATCATCGCTGATCATTTACTCAGTACCCTATTCCCACCTTCTCCCCATATATAGGAACATAGGAATTGGAGTAGGCTATTCAGCCCCTCAAGCCTGTTCCACAATTCAATGAGGTTATAGCTAATCTGTGGCCTAACTCCATATACCTGTCTTTCGCCCATGTCCCTTAACACCTCTGCTTAACAGAGTTTTATCTATCTCAGGTTTGAAATTAACAACTGACCCAGCATTCATTGCCATTTGTGGAAGAGAGTTCCAAACATGACCAATGTTTTGAGTATAGAAGTGCTTCCCAACATGTCTCCTGAACAGTCTATCCTAATTCTCAGTCTATGCCCCCAATTCTAAAATTGCCAACCAGTGGAAAAAGTTTATCTTTGTTTACCCTGTCTTTTCCTGTCAATATCTTGAAGACTTCAATCAGACCATCCCTTAACTATCTAAATTCCAGATAAATGAGCCTAATTAAATAATCTCTCTTTAGAACTTAACCTCTGAAGTCCAGGTATCATATTCTTCCTCAGGTATGATACCCAGATATGCTCACAATACTCCAAGTGGGATGTTACCAGGATTTTGTAAAACTGCAGCATAATGTCTGCATGCTTGTATTCCAGTCCTCTGGATATAAACAGCAACATTTCATTAGCTTTCTTGATTATTCTGCACCTGTTTGTGACATTTTAAAGCCCTCTGCGCCTGAACCCCAAGTCTCTTCTGACATCTAATGTATTTAACTTCATACCATCTAGAAAGTACACTGATCTATTATTTTCCAATCCAAAATGGACAACCACACACTTACTTACACTGAACTCTGTCTGCCATTCATTTTGCCCATTCATTTTGTCTATCAATAGCCCTTTGTAATTTCATGTTGTCATTTACACTGTCTGCAAAGCTGCCTAATTTTGATCCCTTTAGTTCCAAATAGTAATATAAAATGTAGGAAGCTCAAAACAAGGCTGGTACACATGAGAAAGTTCAATCCCACTAGTAAATTCCAGTAGCGTTGAAACTGGCTTTTTAAAACCCCTGTCCTTGTGATTCCTGAAAAGAAAAAAAACACCATGTGTGTCTGCAATTTGGGAAAGGTAGCTTGCTGTTAAGCATAACACAGTGAGGAGCTGGAGGAACGCAGCAGGCCGGGCAGCATCAGAGGAGCAGGAAAGTTGACGTTTTGGGTCAGGACCCTTGTTCAGAACATTGAGCAGATGGGCGTCAGCCCTTTGTTAGCGTGGTAGTCTCAAGAGATCACAGTCTGGTCTGTTTTGATTTAACTCTTCCCAACATTTGAAGGGCTGTTATTTGAATTTCTCTCCATATCTGTAGGTGTGACATTATGTGGGTCTCTCTCACTCTTGAGCAAGCAGATGGGACTAGTTTAGTTTGGGATTATGAACTGGTTGGACAAAGGGTTTGTTTCTGTGCTGGATGGCTCTATATCTTCAACCAGTTTTGGTTGCACCAAACTTCTTTTAAAAAATACATTTTGTATTAAAATTGAAAATTTCAATAGCGCATTGGTGTTCTGATCTGTGGTCATGACACACAACCGGTTTCACTTTGGGTATTAAACCCAAGCATGCCAGGGCAAATGAAGGGTGCAATGTACATAGCTAACTATGAAGGAAAAAGTTTTTAATTTAATGTTCGCAACATAAAGAAGCGATATTATAAACTTAACCAATGACGTATTTAACATAGACAACAAAACTTAATCTTCATAAAACTGAATTATAATCTTCAACAATGTATGTAATGCTGCTATTTGGCAAAACCCAGTTAAATACTGAGATATTGGATGCTAATTTCCTTGCTCCATAATTTGGCAGAGGTTTGCTTATTTATACACAGAGCAGGGAATTGATCAATGTTATAGCAGCAACACAGGAGAGGATCCATTGAATTTACCCTGATGTGTTGTACTAAAAATACCATTAAGTCTAAAATAGTTTATTAATTACTTTGATTTTGATTCAAATTATCCTCAGTGTCTAGCGTTGTGATGGTGTTAGCTGACTTCTAGCATTCAGAGTGAGAGAAGTTCTTTGTCTGCAGCACAGGGATGATTTTGACTGTGACCTTCACAGCATGCTAAACTTGGAAACAGATATAACTGCAGGAATAGGCCATTTGGCCATTCAAGCCTGCTCCACCATTCAATCTGATCATGGCTGATCATTTACTCAGTACTCTGTTCCCACGTGCATTGTCACTGCTATAACTAATAAAAGTCATATTAGTTCATCATTTTTGCGTTTTACTTAACATTTAGAAAATGGGAGTGTAGCTATATTTCATTAACACTGTAAACTCGAAGCAGTGCCAATGGATGGTGTTTTATAATGGAGACTTTCCAGGAGACAGAACCAACTATTCAACTATATACTACATGCAGTACAAATGATTATGAAGATTTCACCAAAGATATGTGGGAGAGAGTGCTACAGTAGAGTGCTACAAGTAAGAACAGGAGTGTTGTAAGCTCAGAGTATTACTTGATGTTTACAAGAAAAAACCTCACAAAACTATCAACAAATAAAGGCTGAAATGTTTATCTGAGGCAAAACAAAATAAAGCCAACTGAAATTTGTAGTAGATGTGATAATACGTAAATATAGCAACAGCAAACACTACCCAAATGCCAGTAGCTCCTAAACATACTGAAACCTGATATATAACGTGAAATAATTTGTGATTCAAGTAGAAGACACAATTTGTCTGCAATTTTTTTTTTTGGGAAATAATTATGCTGAGTTTCTGAACATAAATCCAAATTTTGAGATATATTATCTACAAAAGAAAATTCCAATTAATTTTGATCTGGTATTTCAAAGTCTATCACAGACATGTTTAACAGAGGCTCAGTCCTTGCTCCTGCAACAGTGGCTGAAACATGAATAGCATTTAGTTTTGTAACAACATGTAGTTCCAGAATTCGTGAACAATCAAGTACTGAAATAATGGAAAATATTCTTTTAAAAAGCTTTGCATCATTGATCAGCAGTCAGTATCCACAGCAGCTGAAACCTTTGCACTGTAATGACATATTGAAATATGACTAACACACAGGTGTGTTTCAAAGTGCTGAGCTTCTTTGAAACTATTCACACATAATGTAATCCCTTTCTCTAAAGAACAAAATTCCTACCCTGGTGAAGAACGTTCTGTCTCCTCCTTTATGCTGTTCACGAAATCATCAGTGGAATCATCATTTAAGTGGTATCCTGTTAAAACTACACTCTGAGAAGTAGGCAGTGGATCCATAGTGAGTGAGGCATAATTTCTGCTAGTTATTCATCAACTGGACACGACATAAAGCAGAGAAGGCAATAAAAATCTTTCCTTGCCTGGCAACATGGATCATTTCCATAATGAAACTCCACCCCTGCTATTCTGAACAGTGGGTAGGGCTAAATGCCTGAAAACGCCTTTCTTGTTCCAAGAAAGTGGCAGTAACATTAAAGACTCTGAACTTACAGCTTACCGCTGTTGAGCTGTCACTACTGAATTTCTTGGTATTTTCCAGCACGGCTGCACATTTTCTTCTCATCTTATGCAAATAAAAGCATTTAGAGTTGTGATGGAAACAAATACTGAAAAGGCTATGCTATCATAATGTATGCCATTTAAACATAATCTACTGGCAATAAATATTAAGATTACTCTGCTCTTTTTTTCAGTTTTTTAATTGATTTGTTAAAGGGATTGCTGCGCTTTAAATAAGTGAGCTGGCTTGGAGGAGCTTGTGATTGAATATCCTGAATAGAATGTATTGACATACACAGTTGAAATGTCCCAAGTATTGACGAGAATTGGCTTCATAATATGACTTTCTTGATTGCCCTTAAATAGAAGTTATTGTAGTTCTAATGAAATTTAATACTTGGGAATGGAATACATTGGCTATCCTTATCAGACACAAACATTCCTAGGTCAGATTTCCATTTCTATTTACAAAGTGGTTGCAGACCAGAGGGCATAGAGTTAAGGTGATTAGCAAAAGATCAAAAGAAAGCATGAAGATTTATTTAATGATATGTGTGACTATGATGTAAAATGTACTGTCTGAAACAGTCATGGTGGCAGATTCAAACATGGCTTTCAAAAAAGAATTGTATAAGCACCTGAAGAGAAAAAGGAGAGTAGGGGTATGGGGAGTGCACAGAAATGTGACTAAATAAGATTTTCTTACAGTTTGTTGTCATGGACACGGTGGTCAAATGCCCCCCTGTGCAATGTAACTGTTCAATGATTCTGTTTTATAAACTATGGCATGAAAACCATTCAGTTTGAATCCTTACACAGGTATAAAATGTTATTCATGGTTTTCACTCCAACAAACTTAATTTGTGCAGGAAAAGTTATGTAAAACATCATTCAACTCCATACTGCCTTCTATCTGCAAGCTAAAATCTAATCTAACATTTCATCCTGTGCTATATTTGATTGAGCATTGCTGAAAAAATACATTTTATTGAGCGTTTTATCTGCACGCGTCAGGATTATTTGCAAGAGAACCATTGAAAGTGGAAATCAACATTTATACTCTATGAGAGAAGAGTGCAAATGATTGAGAGTGGTTTTGCAATGGGGAATATACCAGCTGAAGATGACTGACAGTTAGTTACCAAGCTTTGTGTAAGTTTATAACTGAGCAGTTACCTGCTTTGTTACCCATTCCCCTGAGAAATAAACTAATGAGCAGCTGTCATCTATTTTGCAGAGTTGAAACAGGTGCAATGCTTATTCCTTTTAATTGGTCTTGGATAAAAAAAATTGAGAAAATGTTTTTAATGCCTACTACAAAATCTACCAAAGCTTACCAACTTTTACAGATGCCCCATAGAAAACATTCTATCTAGATACAACACGACTTGGTATGACAACTGCTCTGACCAGGACCGTAAGAAACTACAGACAGTTGTGAACACAGCCTGGGTCATCACACAAGCCAACCTTTCATCCATGGACTCCATCTATGCTTATCGTTGCTGTGGAAAGGCAGCCAACATCATCAAAGACCCTTCCCACCCGGTTATAATTTCTTCCAATCTCTTCTGTCGGGCAGAAGATACAAAAGCTTAAACATACATACCAACAGGTTCAAGAACAGCTTCTTCCCCGCTGTTATTAGACTTTTGAATGGACCTTCTCAATTTCAAACCTAATGTTGATCTTGATTTTTGTGCATCTTCTCTGCAGCAATAACTTTGTATTTCTTGCTCTGTTCAATCAACCTATGATCATTGCATGTTATGATCTGCCTGTACTGCATGCAGAACAAAACCTTTCACTGTACTTAGGTACATGTGACAATAATAAATCAAATCAAATCAAATCAAACAGGCTGTAAAAAGACTAAAATTTTTTGGAAAGCGAACAGTGCAAAAATAACACTGACATCTCAAAATAAGTCGCTAATACAAGGTCCAGAAACAAGCTTACTACATCACAATTCCAATCGTAATATGAGATTAAATCATTTAGGGAATCATAAAAAATAACTCTGCAATGCATATCCATATCAAATAGTAAATATGGGTTTCTGTTTGCATGCATTTTTGCTGCCTTACAATCCCTCCTCATTTCCACTAGCCTCCGTTCCATTCAGAACTCCCAGTAAGAACTGATTCCTGCTTTGAACAATGGGAGTGAAATTTCTGATCTTGCAGCAATCCCCAGAGCCAGGATGCTGAATTTTGCAACTTATTGGGACAGGCAACCACCTGGTAAAAGAAGTACAGCAATCCTGCTTTCGTGGGTAGAAAGACATGGGACAGCCTATTGTTAGCATCGACCAGTTGAAAGATCATTGGCAAAGGGCAATTAAGGCCTAATCAGAGAGCTGGAGGCACAGCAGCAACAGCTAGCGTTGGCCATTGTTAAGGCTGCAACTCCAAGGAGAGGGCCAATAAAGGACGACCTGTGAAGAGAGGTAAGGTTGCAGGAAGTTGTGGGTCAAAATATTGAAACTTATTGCTCCAGAATTTCTGATGGCCAGTTTATAATTTCTGTAGTGTAGAATTTGTGAAAGTCACATGATGAGGGAACCGTTTTATTGTTTGCTTTTAAAAATGAGCAGAATCTATTTGCAGACACAGTTTTCAGTGGAAACTTCAATCAAATCAACTGCAGGTCATTCAGGTTTTCAAGGCAATTAACAGCAATATCTGGGAAGTGGGAAAATCTAACAGAGAGAATGACAACTCTCCAAAGCTATTTCAATCGAGAGCCAACCTCCTGGAAATTTGACGAGATGAAACATCACAGCTTCCTGAAAATTCTACACTTTACAAGGCTTTCACTTCACTTTAAAGTCTCATGTTCATCTAATAAACTACATGCCTGCCATGAAAGAGAATACTGAAATATGCATTATGACCAGGTGAGAATGAATCATTCAACTGTTTTCTTTTTAGCCACCTTTTCAGCAATCATGGCAAATTTATTTTGTTTTGTCTCACAGTTTTATCACATTTCAATGGAAAATGGACTTAACTAGATTGAAATGAAAGAGCCAATTATGCTGGGTTTTTGGAGGGAGTTCCACCACAAGGCCGAGTGACATTTCTCACTGTATCTTAGCAAATTTGCCTCATTATCTACTGCCTCCACTCCCATCAATCCCTTGAGCCTGATTCCAGCCCCCTTATTACCACGTCCCATTCCCAGACAACTTAGCTGACACCTGCCAAAAATTCATCAAACCTTCCGCCCCACCGTCTTCAAACGGTGAGCACAAGCACTCTGAAGCTGCCATTCTTGGTTAAGGACATTTCCAGAAGATGTCAGATTAGGAGAAAATGGCACCTTTGACAGGGACCTGGAGATCCTGGTCCAGAGGGTAAATCACAGGAGAGGAGCCTGTGGTGTCAGCTATCAGGGACTTCTTCTACATACATAGGGAGGACTAGGAGCTGCAGGCAGGAGTGTGGGGAGCAATGGTCCTCTTTGTCCAAAGCTTGCAGCAGTGCAAAGGGTCATGTGACCACCTAGTTCCCTCCATGGACGCATTGATGGCTGCCATGCAGATCCTGGCACAGCACCCTCAAGATCTGCTGGAGAGGTTCACACACCATTAACTGCAGGGCCTATATTTGGGTCCTCAGGACTGATGGTATGGTAACAGGGGCACAGGGAAGTGACATCCATTCCAGGTGCCCCTTCCTCACATGGGGACAGGGTAGTGCCAGGCGACAGCCAGCTGGTGGAGGAACCATATACAGCCCCGTTTCAAGACACTCCAGAGGTGTCCAGGCTCCCCACTCTGAGTGCCCTTTAGGTGTTCGTGTCAAGGAGGGTCCTCTGTTTAGCAGAGCCTCAGCATGTCTGACCTGTCCATGTACAAATGCTGCTCTGGCTACTCTACCAAACCTCCAGGGTCAATGGGCTCCATAGAGAGCCGGGTCCCTCCTTTTAGCTGGGAATCTAGTGAATACATTAACATCCAATGGGAGGGAGAGGAAGGAGAACATTTATTGAACACATTGTGATGGCATGGGGTTTAATATATTGTACATTATTTGGCTCTTTCTTATAAATGGCTCTGCTTTGACCTTCCATTTATTGGCCTAACTGATTGTACAGCCCCAAAACTGACTATTCCAGCATGAGACATGGTTTCATGTCGGTCCAGGATTTACCATGAATTGAAGTTCGTGTTGACAACTTATTGCAGCATCTGGAAACAAGATAAGCAATGTCCTGCTGACAGCATTGGCCCTCATCCAGCAACATCCCTATTCTGTCCCTGGTCTCTGTGTCCAAATCTGTTGGTACGAATGAAGAAGTCAATGATGTCTGGGGCAGGGATCTGCATAGCAAATAGTTGGGAGTGGGGAGGAGTGCAATGCATCAAGCTGGCCAGGGATTACGGACCCTGCAGGTCTGAGCCCTGGGTCTGTGCATGGGTTTGTGTGCAATGCCTTTTCCCTGTAAACAACCTCACAATGTGGTTTTGCAGCCCTCTTCCTCACTGTTTGAGTTACTGAGCTGTCCACCCCAAAGGTGGTCATAGTCATTTTCTTTCCTATTCCATACTTTCAGTTTGCTGCACGTTGGAAGGCAAAAGTGAGTGTTCTTTGGCCAATGGCTTTGCCTTTATGTATTAGTGTCTCCTCAGATATCCAATTCTTCTTCCTTCTATCTGTTTTCTTAAACCCATAGGCTTTGTAACTCCTCGATCCATATACTTGAGCCTGCACCTACCCACCTTTCATTGTCAGTCCCTGGTATGTCCATGCAAGGTGTGGTCTTACCCTGCT